GGGAGCGGATTTGGGGGCACTGGGATAAACTGGGATGGACTGGGAGGGACTGGGAGCAGATTTGGGGGCACTGGGATAAACTGGGATGGACTGGGAGGGAGTCGAAGGGTGATAAAGGAGGGATGAGATGGGGACTGGGATGGACTGGGAAGGGATTGGGATGGACTGGGAGACACTGGGATGAACTGGGATGGACTGGGAGGGACTGGGATAAACTGGGAGGGGATGGGAATAAACTGGAGTAAACTGGGATGGACTGGGAGGGAATCGGAGGGTGATAAAGGAGGGATGAGATGGGGACTGGGATGGACTGGGAGGGGATTGGGGGGGCACTGGGATGGACTGGGAGGGGACTGGGATAAACTGGGATGGACTGGGAGCCACTGGGAGCAGATTTGGGGGCACTGGGATAAACTGGGATGGACTGGGAGGGGATTGGGATGGACTGGGAACAACTGGGAGGGGACTGGGAGCTACTGGGAGACACTGGGGAGCTACTGGGGGATACTGGGAGACACTGGGGAGGCACTGATGGACACTGGGAGACACTGGGGGATACTGGGAGACACTGGGGAGAGACTTGGGAGCTACTGGGGGATACTGGGACCTACTGGGGACACACTGGGAGCTACTGGGGGATACTGGGAGATAGTGGGGAGACACTTGGGAGGTACTGATGGATACTGGGAGACACTGGGGAGCTACTGGGGGATACTGGGAGCTACTGGGGACACACTGGGGGATACTGGGAGCTACTGGGGAGACACTGATGGATACTGGGAGACACTGGGGGATACTGGGAGACACTGGGCGATACTGGGAGACACTGGGGAGGCACTGATGGATACTGGGAGCTACTGGGGGATACTGGGAGACACTGGGGAGGCACTGATGGATACTGGGAGACACTGGGGAGCTACTGGGGGATACTGGAAGACACTGGGGGATACTGGGAGACACTGGGGAGCTACTGGGGGATACTGGGAGACACTGGGGAGACACTGATGGATACTGGGAGCTACTGGGGCTGTACTGGGAGACACTGGGGAGAGACTTGGGAGCTACTGGGAGATATTGGGAGTTACTGGGGGATACTGGGAGCTACTGGGGGATACTGGGAGCTACTTGGGAGTTACTGGGGATACTGGGAGCTACTGGGAGCTACTGGGAACGATTGATGAGAGGCTGCAATTCCCAACGTGACCACCGGGTGGCGACAGAGAGATATCGATTTTATATTGATTTTTTACTGGTTTTAACTGGTTTTAACTGGTTTTAACTGGTTTCTCGCACCCAGATCCTGCACTACAGCCCCGAGGAGGAGCAGCCCTGGGTGGCCCCGGGCCCTTTCCTGGGGGTGCTGGGGAGCTACTGGGGGATACTGGGAGACACTGGGGAGAGACTGATGGATACTGGGAGCTACTGGGGCTGTACTGGGAGTTACTGGGGAGACACTTGGGAACTACTGGGAGCTACTGGGGGATACTGGGAGTTACTAAGAGCTACTGGGAGCTACTGGGAGCTACTGGGAACAATTGATGAGAGGCTGCAATTCCCAACGTGACCACCGGGTGGCGACAGAGAGATATCGACTTTATATTGCTTTTTAACTGGTTTTAACTGGTTTCTCGCGCCCAGATCCTGCACTACAGCCCCGAGGAGGAGCAGCCCTGGGTGGCCCCGGGCCCTTTCCTGGGGGTGCTGAGCTGGAACGGCTCGAGGGGCACGCGGGACCTGCAGGACCTGTCGGTGCGGCTGAGCGAGGTGGGCCACGCCCACGCCGGGCTCTACGTGTGCCGCCTGCGCCGCAACCTCACCTTCGAGGGCTACAC